CACACACACACACACACACACACACACACACACACACACACACACACGTTCATAGGCACACACAAGGACTGTCCCTGACCCCAAGAAGCAAGTTTCTCCAGTTCCACCACAGCTCCTCCAAATCGTCTCCTGTTTCTCCACGAACCGGTCTGGCAGCAGCATGTGCCCATTTACCCGAGGGTGGGCACTGACAGCCATTGTTCCAGTCTTGCCTGGCCGGGAATGTTTGCTCTGGCTGGCATCCCAGGGATGTTGACTCAGTTTAGCCTGAGCCTGAGGACACCGGGATCCTTCCCTAATCTGCAAGGCCTCCTTTGTTGGGCAGCAAGGTGTCCTCACCCACGCTCAGGAGGTTGACTCAGAAGGAGCAGACCCTTGGGCGTTACAGACTAGAAGCTCCAAGGCCTGCCCACTTAGTCCAATCCACATCTGACCCAGCCTCCCTTAGAAGGTATAGGAAATTGGCCTGGTGTTTTTCTGGGGATTGATTTAATCTTTACCTCCAGGCAATCTGGTGCCTGGAGGAGAAGGGAATAAACATTCACACAGGGCCTACCCTGGGCCAAGCACCCACAAATATTAATCTCATTTCCTCCTTACAACACCTCTGGGAGGTAGGTGCTATTATTCCCCATTTGACAGTTGAGGAAACTGAGACAAACTGGTTAAGTGACTTGTTCAGATCCCACAGCTACTAGGTATCTGAGGCTGTGACTCAGGTCTTCCTACTCCAGGCCCAGCGCTCTACCCACCAAACCACCAGCTTTCTCTCATTTATTCACTCGTTTTCTTATTTATCCATTCATTCATTCATTCAAGAAAGATTTATGAGGAGCCTACTATGTGCTAGGGAACCATGACAGAGATGCAAAGACAAAACCAACGCACTCTTTGCGTGTAGGGAGTTTCCATTTTATTGAGGGAGGAGAGGAAGGGAAAGAGTGTTAAGTATTAAATCAAAGGTTCAAATCTTGACTGCTATCTATTCCCTTTGGGACCTCTCTGGGCCCCAGTTTCCTCACCTGTAAAATGAGGGAGTTGGACTCAGGCTGTGATTTTGGGTCATGCTCATCCACTCATTCTTTGCTGATGTCCAAAGAGAGGCATGGGCACATGGTTTAGTGGAAAGGGTACTGGACTTGGGGGTTGAGGACCTGAGTTCAAATCCTGCCTCTTCCACTTACAAGTGATGTGATCGTGGTCATGTCACTGGATCTTTCTGGGCCTCAGTTTCCTCCTCTGTAGAATGAGGGTTTCTGGACTCCCAGCTCTCCATATTTGGTCGTGTGGTCCATGACCTTTTTGCAATCTCCAGTGAGATTCTCCCAGTCAGACCATTCCTCTGGCACGGCTCCGCGTGAGGAGCCCTCCCCTTCTGTAGAGCCTAAGTCACCTCTCTTTGTACCTTCTGTCCTTGCCCTCGGTTCTGTCCTGTGGGGCCAAGCAGAACAAAGCTGATCCCTCTGCCAGGTGATGGGATGAGGAGGAGAAATCCCCTCCAGGAGAGACAAGCCTAGCGAATGCCCGTTAAACTCTGCTCAGAGATCTCGCTGCCAGCCAGCAGCGAGCCCCAAGGTGGGGTGGGCTGGGGGGGTCCTGTGACTCTTCTAAGCAATCTCCATGAGCTAGGAGCCCTCCACAAGGCTCTCTCACCTGGAGGCTGCTAAGCACAGAGAACCAATAAATGGGGGAGACCTTCACCCCTGGCCTCCCTCCGGGTTGTCAGGGAGTGAACAGAGACCTGTCTTCCTGCACTGGCTTCTCCCTTCTTTGGGGATGCATTAGTGACCCAGGCCTGCAGGCTGAGTCCCAGAAGGAAGCCACAAAGACATTGTAGGGGTGCCATTGGGCACTGGTGGGATTCAGGGATTCAGCTGCAGAGCGTGGGCAAAGTTTGGCATCTTTGACCGATCATTGCCTGGGCAAACCAAGCAGACGCCCAAGTCCGTCCATCACAGGCTTTTTGTTTGGGGGCGTGGTGACCAGCCTCTGAGAGAAGTTCCCAGTGATGGGAGGACGCCTGCCCAGCCCTGTGGCCCAGCCCTGGACAGCAGGGCTGGCTTTCTGGCAAGGCCCTGCCTGCCACAAGAGTCAGTCTGGGATCTTAGAATTGTGGCTTAAAAGTTGGGCAGGACCTGGAGACTCTGGAGTCCAGTCCCAATGTGACAGGATTAGAACCCGCTTCCTCTGTGCTCTCGCTAGGCAATATGTGACCTTGGGTAAGTCTCTTCCTTCTCTGGGCCTCAGTTTCTGCATCTATAAAATGGGGGGGGGATTGGGCTGGGTGGGTTTAAGGTTCATTTCACCTCTGATTCCTGAGTCTCTGATTTAAAGTCAGAGAAAAGAGGCTGAGAGTGACTATAGTGTTTGGCGGATTTGGGGGGTGGGGAGCACAGGAGCAAGAAGGGAGGGAGGAAGGAAGCAAGCATTTATATAGCGCCTACTGTGTGCCAGGCACTGTGCTGAGCACTTACAGAGCTACAGTGATGACTCATCACTGAGGACGCAGAATGAACTGCAAATGTCCAGATAGCACAACATATTGATTTGTTGGGCTCGATTTTGCCTATTTGTTAGATTGTTGGGGGAAGGGGAGGCATTGGAAAGTGAAAGTGATGTTTTTAAAAGGCCATCAATAATATATTTTTAAAAATTAAATGGTAGGGCTGGGCTCAATGTTTTCAAAGGCTCTTACACTCTAATCCTAAATCCAGGCCCTCTCTTGGCCTCGGTTTCTTCATCTGTACAGTGGGTGGACTGATCAAGACGCCCTCTAGGTGCCTTCTAGGTGTATGGCCTGTGAACTTATAGCTAAAGACAGGCCTTGAGGGAGATGTTTCAGAAGGGCCTCAAGCCTCCAAGAGCAAAAAGGACCATTTGAGGAGTTGTTACTTTAGTTTTCTTTACTGAACACTCATTTCACGGTCAGGTGTGGCAGATCCACAGGGAATCCCTGGTCCTGGGCTGCCAGATCACTGAGACTGGGGGTTCTGTGCTAGGTCCTCACTAACTAATGGGAAGTGACCAGGAGCAGACAGTCACCAGGATGCCTATGACGGAGGGAACTGGCCCAGTTTGGCAGTGAAGCAGGTCGTGGCTCACGGGCCAGTGAGTTTGTGGGGCATGATTTACATACAGCCTCAGTGACATAGGGGACTCAGTCTCAAGAAAAAGAAATTCAATTCGTTTCGTGTTTTGTTTGAAGGTGTTATCAAAGTGGCATTCCCTCTGGGCTGCTCCTGAAATTTTCAGTCACACACAGCTTGGGATCCCGGAAGGCAGCTACTAGTCTCAGATTCTAGGATGCAGTCCATGGATCTTAGCTCTTACTAGTGTAACTCACAAGCCCCCACTGGTGAGATTATCCTTAATAGTCAACCAGGAGACACAATTAGCTCAAGGTAAAAGCATTTAACAAAATGGCAAGGTAAGAACAGTAGTCACAAAACATCCCCCCCCCAGAAAACCCCAAACCTGAAGTGCACTCTCCCACAAACACCCACAGTCTGTGGGGAGCATGAGGGCACATGTAGGAAGCACAGGAGGCAGCTCATGCCTTGGCCACCACAAGATATTCCTGCCCTTCTTGTATTCTGGGAGCCTCTCCCACAGCTCTCGATGTCCACGGCTGGTCCTCCCTTGAATCCATCCCCAGTCCTCTTCTCTGATGTCATGAGTCATGCTCCTCAACTCTGCTTTGCCCCCCAAGTCACTGTCTTTCCGTGTCTATGTCTGACTGGCTGGGCCTGAATTGTCTCAGACTGTGACACTTGTGTTTTAAGGGCCATCAGATTCTCATTGGAGCAGGTATGTGGTGGCTGAGTGGCCGCTTCCCATCTGGGCAGTCATCTTGCCTGGAAGTCTCCAGGGCATTTCAAAGGATAGACTTGCTTGATGTATTTTAATTTAAACTTCTCTCAAAGAGAGCAGGGCCTGGGGTCTGAACTTCTCCAGGATTTGTAGGGAGAAAGAGACAGAAAGAGAGAGAGATAGAGACAGAGAGAGACAGAGAGAGAGACACAGAGAGAGAGACACACAGAGATAGACAGAGAGAGAGAGACAGAAACAGAAAGAGACAGAGAGACAGAGACAGAGAGGAGACAGAGAGACAGAGAGACAGAGACATGAGACAGAGAGACAGAGACAGAGAGACAGAGACAGAGACAGAGAGGAGATAGGGAGAGAGAACAAAGTTTCAGGGGATTTGTCTGAAAGCCAGAAAATGTCCTAATCCCTCTTTCTTGCCTCTGCCTTCACCCTAGACCTACCTTGCCCAGGCCCACTGCTTCAGGGTTTGCTCCTAGAGACCCTCAGACACCGTTGCTATGGGTCAGCTTCCCTGGCCATTCTCTCTAGTTCCATCACTGAACTAGCTCAGGAGCTCCCCGTGTCAGCCTGGTACTTCTTTGGAAGGAGAGAATAGTCGAGGGCCTCCATTGGCTTCACCATCGAAGAAGACAATGAAATAACAGCTGACACTTGTCTTGTGTTTTGAAGTTTACAGATGGTTTCATATACATGATGTCATTTAATCCTTAGAACAGTTCAGTAAGGGAACTGCTATTAGTCCCATTTTACAGATAAAGAAGTCATAGAGCTTGCTAAAACTATCATTCTTTGCAGATTTGGTGTACTTAGAGAATACAAGAGAATCAAGTAAAAAAAAACTAGTTGAAACAATTAACAACTTTAGCAAAGTTGTAGGATGCAAAATAAACCCACATAAATCATCAGCATTTCTATATATTACCAATTTAAAATAACTGTAGACAATATATAATACTTGGGAATCTACCTGCCAAGACAAACCCAGGAACTACATGAACACAATTACAAAACACTTTTCATGCAAATAAAGTCAGATCTAAACAACTGGAAAAATATTACTTGCACATGGGTAGACTGAGCCAACATAATAAAAATGACAATTCTACCTAGATTGTTCTACTTATTCAGTGCCATACCAATCAAACTACCAAAAATTATTTTATAGGGCTAGAAAAAATAATAAAATTCATCTGGAAGAACAAAAGGTCAAGGATATCAAGGGAATCAATGGGAAAAAATGTGAGGGAAAATGGCCTAGCCATACCAGATCTCAAACTGTACTATAAAATGACAATTATCAAAACAATCTAGTGCTGGCTAAAAAAAATAGAGCCTTGAATCAATGGAATAGATTAGGTACACAATATATTATAGCAAATGACCATGGTAATTTAGTGTTTAATAAACCTCCAAATCCAAGCTTTTGGACAAAAACTTAAAATTTATCAAAAACTGTTGGGAAAACTGAAAATAGTATGGCAGAAACTAAGTATAGAACAATATCTCACACTGGATACCAGGATAAGGTCAAAATGGGTACATGATTTAGACATACAGGATGAAACTATAAGCAAATTAGTAGAGCATGGAATAATTTACCTGTCAGATCTAGGGATAAGAGAAGAATTTAGGACCAAACAAGTGATAGAGAGCATTACAAAATGTAAAACTGATAATTTTAATTATATAAAATTTAAAAGTTTTTTGCACAAACAAAACCAACGTAACCAAAATCAGAAGAGAAGCAGAAAACTGGGGGTAAATTTTTTTACAGCAAGTATCTCTGATAAAGGCCTCATTTCTCAAATATATAGAGAACTTAGTCAAATTTATAAGAATACAAGTCATTCCCCATGATAAAGCATATGAACAGCCAGTTTTCAGACAAAAAAAATCAAAGCTATGTATAGTCATATAAAAAAATGCTCTAAATCACTATTGATTAGAGAAACACAAATTAAAACAACCCTGAGGTACCACCCCACACCTAACAGATTGGCTAATATGACAGAAAAGGAAAATGGAGGGGATGTGGGGAAATTGAGACACTAATGCACTGTTAGTGGAGTTGTGAACTGATCCAAACATTCTGGAGAGCAATTTGGAACTATGCCTAAAGGGCTCTAAAACCATGCATACCCTTTGACCTAGTAACACCATGACTAGGACTGTATGCCAAAGAGCCTGAAAAATTAAAAGTTAAGGAAAAAAAAAGAAAAATTAAAAATTAAATTTTTTAAAAAAAGGAAAAGGTCCTGGGTGTACAAAAATATTTGTAGCAGCTTTTTCTTGTGGTGGCTAAGAATTGGAAATTGGGAAATACCCATCTATCAGGGAACGGCTAAACAAATTGTGGTATGTTATTGTGACATAATACTATTGTGCTATAAGAAATGATGAGCAGGATGTTCTCAGAAAAACCTGGAAAGACTTACATGACAGATGCATGGTGAAGTAAACAGAACCAGGAGAATGCTGTACACAGGAGCAGCAATATTGTTTGATGAAGAACTGTGAATGACTTAGCTATTCTCAGCAATACAATGATTCAAGACGATCCCACAGGACTCATAATGAAAAATGTTCTCTGCCTCTGGAAAAAAGAAGTGATGCTGAGTACAAACTGGAGCAGGCTATTTTCACTTTCCTTCTTTCTTTATTTTTTTGTTTGAGTTTTCTTGCACAAAATGACTTATGTAGAAATCTTTTACGTGATTGCACATGTATAATTTTCATCAGATTGTTTTCCATTTTAGAGAAGGGGAAGGGCACGGAGAGAGGAACAGAATTTGGAATTCAAAATTAAAAAAAAACAAATGTTAACTATTGTTTTTACATGTAATTGGGGGAAAATAAAATATTACTAAAAAAAAATAAATGTTTGTTGACTGACTGAGCCTAAGAGGCTGAGTGATTTACCCAGGGTCATGCTTCTGAGGCAGGGTTGGGGCTCAGGTCAGTGTAAGTTGAATGTTTGCTTGAAAAGAACGAATCTGTCCCCAGCTGCCTCACTGCCTCACGATCACCAGCAAGCAAGACTTATTTTCCCCCAGAATTATTCAGAGCAGCCACAGGGTCCCAAGTCTCCAGACAAGTCACCTCTGCCCTTACACAGCTTCTGCATTTACAGGTCACAAGAGCCAGACCAGAGAGGACCCAGACGTCACCTGATCCAACTTCCTTCTTTTAGAGGAAACTGAGGTCCAGAGAAGGGAAGTAGAGGAACCCCCAAAAGGAAGGGTGCCTGAGACCTCAGCCGGGGCCCTTGCCTGGTTAACGCCACCTGAGGTCAGTGGGACCTGAACATCTGTTTTTTCCCAGCTCTAATGGGGGTGTTGCGCCTTGCTGCTGTTTTGCTCGTCCTTCATTTTGAAGAGGACCGTGACATCATGGATTGACGAATTGGGCATGGGTTGGATTGAAGTGAGGCAGAGCCGCACAAAGTCATCTGCCTCACTGTCTCTTCCAGTCATTAAAGCACAGTGGCAGGACCAAAGTCCAGATGACCATCAGCTTCCTCAACGATGCAATGGAAACCACCATAGCACTTACCTCACAGGGTTGTGAGGAACAACCAAGAAAGTGTCCTTCTAGTGCTGAGCACAGTTCCTGGCACACAGTAGGTGCTTAATGAGTGCTTATTCCATTTCCTTTTCATTCATTACCATTCTGCAGCTGTTAATGCTGTCAATCGCCCTCCTCCTCCAGACCCTCTTCTCTCAAAGCTTTCATGTCACTGATACCTCCCAGCTCTCCTCTCATCTGTCTGCTGACTCCTCCATCTTCCTTGCTGGATCTTCATTCAGGCCCCATCCTCTAACTGTGAGCATCCCCCACATGGTCTGTCCTGGGCCATTTTACCTTCTTTCAATATACGATAGCTCCTCAGCTTCCACGGATTAATTACCAACTCTAGGCAGATGGTTCTCAGATCTGTGAATCCAGCCTTAACCTCTCTCATAGCCTCCATTCTCACATCTTCAACTGTCTGGGGACATCTTGAACTGGATGGCATTCTTTTTTGTTTTTTGCTTTTTGGTGAGGCGATCAGGTTAAGTGACTTGCCCAGGGTCACACAGCTAGTAAGTGTTAAGTGTCTGCAGCTGGATTTGAACTCAGGTCCTCCTGACTCCAAGGCCAGAGTTCTATTCACTGTGCCCTGGATGACATTCTAACCTCAACTCAACGTGTCCAAAAAAATTGTACTTTACGGTCCCTACAAGCTCTAAGTCTATGAGGCTAACGTCACCCCAGTCCCAAAACCCTAAGATTGCATCCACCCTTCCTTTTTTATGTGTTCCTATAACCTTCTGGGCCTCAGTTTTCTCATCTCTAAAATAAGTGACCTTTAAGGTTCCTTGCAGCACTAAATCATTGTCCCTTTTGATCCAATGAGAGAAAAGCCATTATTATCCCCATTTTACACATAAAGAAACTAAGGCTCAGAAATGTGTGTGACCTGTGTGAGAGAATCACTTACTCTTCTCGGTAATCTATGATGCTAATGAGGTGCCCAGATTCACATAACTAGGAAATGTCTGAGGCAGGATTCAAGCCCAGATCTTTCTGACTTCAAGCTGAGTATGCTAGCCACTCAATCCTGCCATCCAGAAGGGGAGGAAAGAGGATAAGCATTTAGTAGACACCTACTGTGAGCCAGGCACGTACAAAATGCTTCACAATGATCTTATCTGAGAAAACACACGTACAGGTTGGTAGGGATTCATGTCTTTTTGGTCACCTGAGGTAACATGCTCTGATCTTTCCCAGGCTTTTGGAATCTCCTCCCCTTGATCAAGACCACAAAAGATGATCTCTGAGATGCCTACTTAATGCACATCCAAGCCACTTGGGGGAGCAGATGCCTCAAAGAACTCATGGCAACATGCAATACTGTGAAGAACACTGGTTCTGGGGTCAGAGGTCCTGGTTTCAAATCCTACCATGAACACTATCTGTGTGACCTTGGGCAAATACTTCATTTTACCTTTCTAAACCTCAGTTTCCTCATCTGTAAAATGAGGGGGTTGGAGTAGATGACTTCTGAGGTGCCTCCAAGACACATGGTCCTATGATACTGGGAGACAAAATGATGAGTTAGCAGCAGGTGTCCCAAATCTACTCTGTATCTCATGAGGCTGAGACAGGCCTGCTGTGCAGATCACATTGTTCTCTGAAAGCCAGCTGACCAGTCAGGATGCTCTGGGAATGAGCGTGCCCTTAGTGTTCCAGGACTGAGCAGATGGGGAATGGGCCACCTTGGCACCACCGTTAGAACAGATCTGTAGATGCAGACTAACGCTGAGCTCAACAAATGTTAAGTGCCCCTCACTTAGCCAGGTACCGTGTCTGGCGCTGAGAGAGACACAATACAGATTCCCTGCCCTCAAGGAGCTCACAATCCAGACATGATAACTTTGCTCAGACGCTCCCCATCTCGGCAACGCGCTCCTTCCCCCTCTTTTCCCGTTGAATCCCTACCCATCCTTCAAAAGCTCACCCACATGACACCCTTCACCAAACCTTCCCTGATTCCCTCCCCTTCTTAGATCACAAGGTCATGGGGTCACTGATCTGGATCTAGTCCAATCTGCCCATTTGATAGATGAGGAAACTGAGGCTAAGAGAGATGACTCGCCCAAGGTCATAGAAGTAGTAACAGATGTGGGGTCTGAACACCTGTCCTTTGTCTCCAAAGTCAGTGCTCTTTATATTATACCACACCCAAGATCAACAAGCATTTATGAAGCACCTACTATGTGTCAGGACCCATGCTAAGTACTGGGGAAACAAACAAACAAAAAAAGGCACAAAATGGGCCCTGCCATCCAGGAGCTCACAGACAACACGCAAACACTGTGTCCAAACAAGATCTAGACAGGATAAGGTGAAGAAAATCAGCCAACGGGGAGGCACTTGCCTTGCTTGTCAACTGACTTCTGAGCGAGGTCTTTTCTATAGACTGTCTGAGCCTTCAGAAAACATCCGGGACGGCCTTTAAGCTGATCTTCTCCACCTGCTCACGGCGTGTCTAAGCTAAACACAGAAAGGGCACCTCCACGGGATTATCTTAGCATGAATGTAGCTTTTGCAGCTTCCTGACAAATAGGCTGAAAAGGCCTCGTTTGGAGTTGGGTGTGCTTGAAACGTCTCAGTTGTCCGGTGAACTCACAACCACCATTCTGGAATGTCCGCCGCATTCATCCAGAAGGACAATATCCGTTGTGTGCTGTCAGGTTTTGCTTTGTGGCTGCTCATGGGTGTGCACATGCCTGTGTGTGCACCTGTATGTGGATCTGCACTCTTGGCTGCACCACTCCCCTTGAAAACGACTGATCTGACAGTTCTTTCCTTAGCATGCTATTCCTTCCTCTAAGTTGTGTGCCTCAACTGTAAGATAGGAATGATAACAGCCCCTCCTTCACAGGGTTGTTAGCAGGATAAAATAAAATAATGATTGTCAAGTACACACAGAAGGTGCTTAATAAATGCTCCTTTCCTCTCCTCCCCCCTCCCCAAGGTACTTGCATCAATAATCAGGGCTGGGAGGCCTGGGACTTGGAAAGAATGAATTTGGACAATAAAAACACTGAGGATCCCAGACTTCAGAAGCTGAAAGGAGACAAGGAGCTCATGTGGAAGTCCCTCAGCATTCCTGAGGGGCAGTGGTGGGGAGGTCTGGGGGCAGGGAGCCCCAACATTTATTGGCTTGGCTGCCACATGGCTCCCACGGCCATCTAAGGAGGAGAGTCATAGCTGAAGGGCCTGGATCTCTGAGTTCTAGTCTTCTGAGCTCTGCTCCAGATTAATCAATAGCCTCGGCCAAGTTCATGGAGCCTCCTGGGCTTCTCTTCTGCACAGGATGGGCAATTATTTGGGACCCTATTCAGGGTCAATAGATGAGAAAAGAACATCCAGGATCCATTGTGTCAAGCCCCCTTAAACGTTGTGTAGTCTAACCACCTTGTTTTACAGATGACGAAACTGAGGCCCAGCGATAGGAAATGATCCCCCCCCCCGCAATGTTACAGGACGAGCACCCAGATCTTCTCTCCTCCCACTCTGTCACAGTGATACTCAACACCAAGTGCAAAGTGGGAAGGAACGTGGGTATTGCCAAGTCCAGCCCTTCCTCTTAGAGATGAGGAGCTGGGCACCAGGGACAACACGTCACCCCTTCTGGGTCAAAGTGGCAGCGTGCTGCAGGGCCGGCCTCCTCCCTGAGGCTGCCCGGTTTGCCTGCATCTGGCTGCCTCTCCAGGACTGCCCAGTGGAGGGTGGGGAGGACAAAGATTCTCATCAAGGACACCTTTCTCTTCTGAATCCTTTTCTTACACAAATGCCCAGTGGGTGCATTTCATAGGACCACAGGATTCTACAGCCAAAAAGGACCTCCGAGGACATCGCGTCCAAGGCTCTCATTTTACAAGTTGGGAAACTGAGGCCAAGAGGAGTGAAGTGACAAAGTGGGCAAGTGATGAAGTGACTCACTGCGCACAGAGCAAGTGTCTCAGACCAGGAGCTTCTGAACCCAGGTCCTCTCACTTTCTACCACCTTCATATTTATAGTTGGCATTAAAAAGAAACCAAAACCTTTTTAAAACAAGACAGACTTCATGGAGCTTAACTTTACTGAATTACATCTTTATCATATTGCAGACCTTAACGTGCCCTACGGGTAATAAACGACAATGACATTTATTAAGCACCTACTATGTGCCAGGCACTGTGCCAGGCTTTGGGGAAGCAAAAAGAGGTATAAGACGGTTAACTGCCGTCAAGGAGCTTCCAGTCTAATGGAGGATACAGCAAGCAAACAAAAATATATACAAACAGGCTCTAGACAGATAGGAAATGATTAAGAGGGAAGGCACAGTAACAAAGAAGGGCTGGGGAAGGCTTCCTGCGGAAGGTGGGGTCTTAGTGGAGATTTAAAGGAAGCCAAATAAGCCAGGAGGCGGAGACAAGACAGGAGAGCACTCCAGGCACAGGGGACAGCCGGATAGAAGGCCCAGAGCGGAGAGATGGAGGGTCTTGTTTGTGAGACAGCCAGGAGGCTGGCGTTACTGGATCGAAGAATACGATATGTAGCCGGGAGTAAGGTGTGAGATGACAAAGCAGGATGGGGCTGTGATGAAGGGCTTTGAAGGCCAAGCAGAGGATGGTGTATTTAATCCTGGAGGCAATACAGAGCCACTGGAGTTTGAAGAGGGGGGTGACAAGGAAAATCATTTTAGCGGCTGAATAGAGGATGGATTGGAGCAGGGAGACACTTGAGGCAGGCAGACCCACCAGCGGCTATCGCGATTGTCCAGGCACGAGGTGATGAGGGCCTGCACCAGGGTGGGGGCAGTGACAGAGGGGAGAAAGGGGAATGTTGGAGAAATGTTGTGAAGGTAAAATTCACAGGCCTTGGCAACAGCTTCAGATATAGGGAAGAGGATGAGAGAGAGTGAGGCGTCCAGGATGGCTCCTGGGGTATGAGCTGGAGGGACTGGGAGGATGGGGAGTTCACAGTAACAGGGAGGGGGAAGTAGTGAGGAGAGGCCGCTTAAGGGGAAAGAGAGTAAGTTCTGTTTTGGACATGTTGAATTTCAGATGTCTGTCGGACATCCAGTTAGAGATGTCCAAAAGGCAAGTAGAGATATGAGATTGGAGGTCCGCAGAGAGTTTGGGGCAGGAGAGGTAGATGTGAGAATCATCAGCATAGAGATGGTCATTCAATCCATGGGGGCTGAGGAGATCACCAGGTGAAGCCATGTAGAAGAAGAGAAGAGGGCCCAGGACAGAGCCCTGAGATGCACCCACACCAGGTTACATCCTGCATCTCATAAAAGCCAAGGATCCATTTCCAGCTGACCCTCTCCAACAACTCCATGTTTTCAGAAGAGGCGTAAACAGCAGCCCTTCATTCGATCAGGGAACATATTGCTATCAAATAACAACAATCTTCTTCCTTTATTTTCTTTAAATTTCAGACATTTGTTGATGAATATTTAAGTGTCATGGGGGGATGGTGGTAGGTGGAAAAATATTGGCCAATGTTGGGCCACCTTGCTTCGGCTTGGAGCATTGTTTCCACTGAGGAGACAGATGGTGTTTCCAGTGCTGGAGGAAGCAAGGAGCCGTGGGACAGCAGGATGCCCAGAGCACTGTGGGATTTCCCAGGTCCCTTGAAGGCCCACAGCAGGCCTTGAGGCATGGACTGGATCTCAGAGACACTTGAGAGATCAGTTGTCCAACCTCTTCATTTTACAGATGAGGAAAGCCAGGCCCAGAGCTCCTCCGGACTAAACTCCCTGTGGATGAGCCTCCTTTGGGACTGTTCTCTATGCCTCAGAGGTGGCATTTAAAAAAAAAATTCACCTCACTGTCACTTTCCAAATAATCTTCCAATAGGAACCTCCTTATAGCAAAAGACAATTAAGCAAAACAAAGCCCACTGCCGACCACATCTGCTAACCTAGATCTCTTTCTCTAACTCGCGCCGGCCACTTCTTCACTAGCTGGACAGTGGCACGTTTTGTTGTTAGTATTCTGGAATCTGTAGGTCGCTGCACTGATGAGAGTTCTGAAATCTTTTGGTAATTTTCTTTCAATTATTGGGGAGCAAAGGGAAAAATTTTTCAGTTATGTCCAACTCTTTGTGACCCCATTTGGGGTTTTCTTGACAGAGATACTGAAGTGGTTTGCCATTTTCTTCTCAACTCATTTTACAGATGAGGAAACTGAGGCAGAGGTTAAGTGACTTGCCCAGGGTCACACAGCTAGTAAGTGTCTAAGGCCAGATTTGAACGCAGGTCTTCCTGACTCCAGGCCCTGTGCTTTATCCACTATGCCACCTAGCTTCTAGTGGGAAAAGTACGGCTTTGGGATCAGAAGACCTGAGTTCAGACCCTGCCTCTGCCCCTTACTAATTGGGTGACCTTGGACAACTCACTTCCCCTATCTGGGCCTCAGTTCCCTCTTCTGTAAAATGAAGGAGTTAGATTAGAGGATCTCTAAGGTCCTTTCTAGCTCTAAATCTATGATGCCAAGATGGATGATCCTCATACAAATTATTCTCCTGGTTCCGCTTACTTCCCTCTTTATCAGGTCACAGAAGGCTCCCATGTTTCTCGGATTTCCTCACGGTCATCATTTCTTATAGCACCATGATATTTGGATGCAGTCATGTGCTATCATTTACATGGTAATTTCCCAATGAGAGGGCACTCATTGTTTCCAGTTTTTTTCTGGGGCTTATTTTTTTCAAGGAAGCACTGATTCCATTTCATAGGGTCACGCAAGCCAGAGCCGAAGAGGAAACGAGAGAGCAGCTAGTCCAACTGCTTCATGTTACGGGTGAGCAAAGTGAGACAAAGATGGCAAGGGATTTTTCCAGGATCCCCAAACTCCCAGTGCAGGGTTCTTTTCACTAATCCCACTGCCTATGTTTTACCTGGCTTACCCTTATGTCCCCCCAGGTGCACTTGAAATGTTTATTTCTCCATCTTAGCAATTGTTTAACCAATATTTTTGAATAGCATTCCCTCAACAAAATCCTATTCTGATGCCTTTTCATGGCATGGAGATGAGCCTGAGGTTTCAAAGTCTACATGAGAATTAATTACTTGAACAGAGGCACCCATAAAAGCAAGAAAAATACAACATGTGTGGTTCTCTGTGGCTTCTTTCTGCTACTGTGGTGATGGTGGCAGGATAGGGAGAGGAGGGCAGAGGGTGCTGGGAATCTCCCCTTTTTTCGACCCTCTATAAACATTAGCTTTGCTATTGGTATTCTCAAGGTGAGTGCCTCATTCAACGACTAATGACACGTAGATGGCTAGAGAGGCTGTCAATTTCCCCTAGAATTCCTCCTCAATGTCAGAAACTGATGTTCCTCCAAGAAATAAAACCAGAAGATGGAAGGAAGTTGGAACTCAATGCAAGGCTGGCTCACAGGTTCTCTTCAGAGAGGCAAAAAAAGGGGTTGGGGGAAGTTGGCTTTAGTTTGTATCCAGTGGCGATAAGAAACATAATTTCACGGGATGTTTGGTCATCGTGGATTGAAATGATACAAAGTTACAAAAAGGGGCATCATAAAATAATTACAACCTATTTACGAACATCTGTTGCAAAGGATGAAGAGGGAAATAAATTCTACTGTGAGCTCAATAAAACGCTAGAAATTAAATCAACATCTCAGTGACTTCAGTGCCAAAGGAGCTTCTGGGGAGGATAAAGAAAATTGTTAGGAAATAGGGCTTAAACGTAAAGCCCGAGAGGGATCACATAAACTGAAGTCTTACCTCAAAGCACATACCGTGAATCCTTTCTTTGAGAAAGCATCAGGAGGTCCTGATTACAGTGATGACTGAATTGGTTTTGTATAAAGAAATTTATTACACAGACATTGAATAATTAACTACTGATGTATATGTCAATTCTGATTTAATAGAGATAAAAGTGCAGGCAGACCCTTAGGAGATCCTCG